GAATTCATGCACTTTAAAGATTGAAACAAACGTCAAGATTTCCATCATATTTATTTACGGCTAATTGTTCTCGCCGAACTTTTAATCAATATTTTCGCAAACTACATCATAGCATTCCTTATTTTTTTATCCACATTACGTATTAAATTTATTCGACGGATAATAATTTTTAATTCTATAACGGTAATTTATACAAACGAATATGGGCTTTATCCGTTCAGAAAGACGGTTACATAGGGTTACATAGACATTGGGCGGAAATTTTCACTTATTCATTTTCATGTAAGCTTAATAAGTTAATTCTAATCACGGAATGAGCCTACCGGAAAAAAATAACGTACTTACTTACATACGTACGCATGTGCATACATATGAAATAGTATCAAAAAAGTATCTTTTCGAACACTAAATATGGTGTGACAGTTTGAGTATAGAATTGAGATGCTCAAGAAGTGTTAGTGAGTTCTTACTGCGCAACTTTGTAGGTCGAAGATTCTAGAATCGTTTTATATAATGGCGTAAAGAGAAGGTCTCATGTGCGCTATTCTATTCAACAATAGCCAAGCAACCAAGATTCTTTATTTGATATGTTTATATTTGTTGATATATTGTGATTGGTTGCACGGGCAACTATTAGCCTAGATTACAGGATTATATTATCAATTTATAATTTATTATAAAGTACAAGTGTAATTACGATAATTACGCATTCAAGCCTCATTACAATAGGTTTTCTTCGGTTAATAATCAAATTTAAAGATATTTAATAAGTTATCCTTGCTTATTGATTGCACGTTACTCGTTAATCTCCTGTATATGTCATTAATATACGTATTAATTAATTAATATAAGTAAATTAAATCAATATCGATATTATTTCACTTAAATAAATCGCAGATCACAAATCGTTCTTGCAGTGTTCTTTTTCTCAATTTTTTTTAGTAACTCGGCCTGTTATGATAGTTTGATATTAAGTTAGATAAATGTATTAAATATGAATTTTTCACCGGATAACCCATATACTCAACATAATAAAGATATTATTAATAAGCCTTTGCAACAAGAAAAAACAATTGTTATCGCACCACCTCCAAAGAAACAACCGAGAAAACTTTGTATTGGAAACACGTATTCTTCTAACATTGATTTTGAAGTAAGAAATTTTCAAAATTTAAAAAAGATCATAAGTAAAATTTTGATATAATTGAACAAAATTTAAAAATTTTTATATTTTGCATGAACAAAGGTCGCAGACCCTGTAATTGTTGTTGATTCAACGATACCAGAATGTGATCGTTTTCGTATGATAAGGATAAAAGTTGATGCTGAAAATAACCCATTTGTAAATTGGAAAATTATGCCAAGCGACTTCAAAGTTCCCGAAAATTATCACGCACGATGCAGTAAAACAGAAACAACAATTAACGAAGAACGTATACGTATTGATGCATTTTCTGTTATTCCTAAGAATATGAATTCAGATGCGTTTTTTGAGATGGAAATAGAACTTAATGAAGGGTTCAGTTATTGTGTTTTTAATTGTCAAGAAGAATCTGATGAAGAGTTGCAACCGAAAAAACAGGATATAACCGAAATACACGACGAAGATACATCTGATGAAAGCACAGTTTTATCTCAAGACGGATATCCCAATAATGAAGAGACAACACAGGTATCTTGAATTGAAAATTACAAGATATTTGATTGCACAAGAGGTTTCTTTAATAATTTTTCATACCCTAGAAAATACGTATTGATCAGGTCAATAACGATCAAAATGTTAAATCAAATGTCGAGAAAATACAATACGTGTTAAAGGGTGGTCGATTTGTTCAGGAAAAGGATACGTCTTCATCATCTGTTCATTTATAATCATAATTCTTCAAATTTGGTTGGCATCGTCTTCATCATCTGTTCATTTTTATAATCACAATTCTTCAGATTTGGTTGGCATTGTCTTCATCATCTGTTCATTTTATAATCATAATTCTTCAGATTTGGTTGGCATGTTAGAAAATAGTAATGCTCCTAAGATGATCTTATATGGTTATCTTTACTGCTACTTTCTAAATCAATTGATCGTTCTATACCATTACAAATTAAAAAAAATTAATTTTCTTTTCATATTACCATTATAAAAATTATTATATTATTATATTATTAAATAGTGTATTGGATAATATATATATATATCGATATATTTATTTATAATTGTGTATTGTTTGTTTATGTTAGTTTTATATTAGATTAATTATTCGGTGCTAAGCTGTATATAACTTTATATCTTATCCCCTACTATAAATAACAAAAAATTCGATGTCGCCAGCTTTTTGGCAAAAACCCAATTTTAATACGATAAATTTCGAACCACTTCTTAAAAATTTTTTTTTAAAAAAAAAATTCGAGATTTTAATATGAGCGCTTCTTTAATAAAGAATATGACCTGATGTAGCAAAATTTGTAAAGGTTCACATATTATACTTTTTCGCGTTAACACGATTATTTATAACTCCTAGAAAACAATATCTGATATTTTTGATGTAAGATTATGTAAGAAGCGAAAAGTTAAAAGTTTATTATACTGTTACACGTACGCAGATTTAACTTTGATGAAAAGTAAAACATTTATATATTCAAATGTTAGAAATCCCTCTCACCAGTTTGTCTCAAATGTAATTGTGATTAAAATGTTACAACTTTTAAGGTATAATACATAATAAAGCAAAAGTGACTCACCTCATCTAATAAATCGTTTGAACACCAGTTTTATTTTCAAGTAAACTTATTCAAACGAAAAGTACCACTTTGATGAGTTACATGAAACATTCGAATGCTAACTTTATCGTAAAAAGATAAGGGGTTACATCACTTACCTTTCTGGTTCTTGACGGCGAACCTGGTGGTGTTGAAACCGTTGATGTGGTTTCATCAGAATCATCATCATATTCACTCCCTTTAGCGTATTGTATTTTACGTACACAGCATGAAATGTGGTGAGTTATAATTTTAATAAATTTAATAATATTATAGAACCTGCCCTAAATGTCAAAGCACATTGACCAAAGAGTATATATCTTCTAAAGCGTCTTCTGAAGTTATGATACTCAATGGATTTTTGCTCGTTCGTGCAAACAATTCCTATAAATCCCAGACTCTTTACATATACATCAAATATAATTAAATAATAAATA